GAAGAAATGAGAGGGTCAGTGAAAAGGAGAACATTCTGGTAAAAAGAAAATGTATAGCTGAGGCCATAGGCCACTTTATATAATTTCTCTCCACTATTAGCTTACCACACGACAGGTGTGAACTTGCTGAGAGAAATAATTTCTACCTCAAGGATTTCACAAGTGCTCTACCTTTCTGAAAGGGGCTTATTTATTATCATAGTTGGGGGTCATCTCACAAGGACTTTTTCCCTGTCCTAATGAAAGGAACATTTCTAGCCAGGGGATAAAGCCATTTGTACATGTGGACGCACTACCAGCAACGACTGGAAGTAGATAATATGGACTTACTGTCAAGACGAGGAGGACATTTGTTGTGGACAGAATTTGAATAAAAAACCCATTTCTTGCTTTATAGTGTTGGCAAAACTGCAAAATCACTGAGTCTAGCATTATCAATTTTATCAATGGACCTTGCCACTCGGTTGTTATGACAACTACAACCTGAAGCAATTAGGTCAGAATCTGGACCTTTTAGAGAGAGAAAGTGACTACTTCAAGGTGAAGGTTGGTGGACGCTGTAGGGCAAGGCACACAGCTAGTCGTTCCTTTTAACTTGCTTTGTGTGCTTAGCGTTTAATCAAAGAACAGCATAGACTTTAAACAACTAGTCTGCTTAATCATTTGTCTAAGTTCAGACAGACCAACCTGAATATTATTGCTACAATTCGACATGACAGAACACTAATACATAAAGGAAGGGGGGGAAACAAAACAAAAACACTAAGCAAGAATTACCCTTTAATTTTAAGTCACCTTTGTATTTGGGCTAAGTCCTTTGTTAAAATACCAATTGAATTTTTTAAAAAATCAAATAGCTAATTTAATGCTTTTAAAACAAACAGAAACTAGTTGTTTGGGCTTCATTTCTTCTCCCAGGGATTTCAACCAAAGTTGTTAAAAATTATTATTTGATTCAGTGTGTTTAGAGAAAAAGGTATTTCTGATAAAATGGTATCCTTAAGACCTCTCAGCAGTTCTAAAAGATTTGACTTGGACTGAGATGGGTTTTGCCAAAATTAAGAAACCTTGGAAGAGATATTTAATTCTGTATTTCCTACAAACTTTTAGCTTCAGGGGTTAGCCCATTTCTAGGGTCATCCTGGGACTTCACCCTAGCACATACCACCCCAGTTGAAGCATGAATTCTGACCAAGGACAGTGAGGGCCCAATGTTGTTTAGCCAGACTTTCATATCAAAGCAATGTCAAATGCATCTGCCCAGTTGTTAAAAAGCAAGAAAGGGAATCTAATAGTGAGATACCTTGGGAGTTATAGTTTCTGTCCAACTGTAGCATCACCCCTAAAACTGTAGCTGGCAGATACTTATGGACATGTTTATGTACAAATACACACCGACAGTTGACTTGCTATGAGATGCTCTGTTGTTTTGCCTGTAGGGGTCATGGGACTAGTCAATATCCATCACAGACTGTGTTTATGGAAATAAAGGTCTTGGGCACCCATATAGCTTCTCAAATATGAATGTGAGTTTTCTATTTTTATGCTTTCATAAAAATGGTTTCCCCTCAGTGGACAAAAATCCAGTAAAAGTCTTATGCAATTTCATTTGACTAAATTCAGAATGAAGTTGAAGTTTTAATTTAGCTATTTCAGATAGTAAAATAAAATCTTTATTTTGCCCTCATCTATAAGACAAGTGAACTGTTTCAGATCACTTTTACTATGATCACTTTCAGGGTCTGAGATCCGATCTCTTCAATGTGTATATTTCCTTTATTAAATCACAAATAATTAAGAAAGCGTCCATTATTAAATCACATTAACATGTAAGGACGCTGCAAAAAGTTTATGGAAAAGTTAAATCAAAAGCTCATGGAATTTTCCCAGAAACTTTTAACCCCCATTTCTGTATGTCTTGTTTTATTATTATTATGAATCAGAGTACATATTGAGGAAGACTATGATTGCTAGAGGAAGAAACACATCAGAGAAGGGGAACAGACCAAAAGGTCTTAGACAGAGTGAGAGAAAATGTAGAATAAAATTCAAATTCAGAAAAACAAAAACAGTCTTGCTCCTCTGATAGAGACTGGTGGAACCCTGAAGCGATGGCCCTTAGAAACTGTGGTAGTTAACTATTCTCGTGTCAACTTGAGGGTATTAAGAGTGAAGGGGTGGCATCTAGCCTGTCAGTCAGGTCACAGCCTGATGATGCCACCTTGTGGGCATGGCCTTCTCATGAGGATGCTGGGAACTTCCTCTCTCGCTCTCTGCTTTGCTTTCCTTCCTATTGAGAAAATACACTTAGGAACCCTGGATCTGGAGGAGCCAGATGGAGACCCCTGCCAGCACTGAGATGCTTCCACTGCCACTGGATCCACAAGAGTTTTCACCCACTGGCCTGTGATCTTCCTGCATTTGACAACATGGTGAGTGACTATATGATGAGTCTGAAGAGGAATTTCTGACCTAGTATTGGGCATATGGGCTAATATTGGGCTTATGGACTTGATCTGGACTGGGTTAAGATGTTTTCTTAATAGGCAATTACTCTTCCTTATTCATATATGAGTGTCTCTGGATTTGTTTCTCTAGTCAACCCAGTCTCACACAGATAACTCTTCAAATGTGAACTATGCCCATCCCCAGGGATTCCCTTGCAAGCAAATAACAGACAGACCTATAAAGTGAATAACGCAAGGAACAGGCTCCTCAGAAAAATTACCAAAAGGTCAGCATATGCCTAGAAAGGAAACTCAAGGTCGTAAGGAGCAGGAAAGAAGGGCAAATGAAATGAGGAAGTGGCGAACAAGTGGCAGGAGTGTGGCTGTTACATTGAAGGAACTGCAAGGGCTACACAACAAACGGTGGATAGTAACCAACTTTGCTCTGTACATTTTCACTTAACCTACAATTTAAAAAGAAGGAGATGGAGAAGAAGATGGTTTGAAGAGATTGTAGAGCAATGTATCTTGTGATAGATAGCAATGAACATCTTCCCGGTCCCCTCCAAAATATAAAAAATCTAAACCCACTGACATGGAGTTCATTACAACGTCTAGTCCCCCTGTGAGAGCTTCCAAGGTTGTGCATCTTTATAGAAGCTGGTAGCTTCATCTTTCTCCAGCGGACCAGTAAGTGGGTTTGAATAGCTGACCTTGTGGTGAGCAGTCCGACTTTCCCCAAATGGTCACACACACACACACACACACTGACCTTGTGGTGAGCAGTCCGACTTTCCCCAAATGGTCACACACACACACACACACACACACACACACACACACACACACTTAATGAATTATACTAAAGCTAATAAGACATAAAAGCCAGGTGTCTGACTGAGAGAGACTATCCATATTCCTTGTATTTTCTGCTCTCCCATTTAAGGTGAAATTTGAGATTTGAATTTGAATTGGTAAGAAATAAACAAACCAGTAAACAAAATAATGAATCCCTTCCAGCTCTTTCTGAGGAATGGACAGGTTACAACCTGACCACTTGCCAAGGATACAGACTCAAAGAAAGACTCCCAGAGAGGTTGGTAGGATTGAATGGCACAGAGCACCTTTTTTAGATTTTTATCTTTGCTCTCCATTTGTCTTATATTGTTTAAGTTCATCTTTACTTGAGGTGCATTTCCCCCTATATGTAAATTATTTACCAATCTAGACCCAAATGAGGTCTACTGTGAGTGGAAAGACTGCCTTCCATTTAAGCAACGTTCCGTGAGGAAAAACAAGAAGTTAGAGGCATTTGATATGAAAATACACTTCTGTACTCAATTTTACTGAAATGTTGAATAATTATGCTTTGTTTGCCTCTGTGGAGTTGCCTGTTTTAATGTGTTTTCAATAGAAAACAAGGCACCAAGAACACTGTGTAAATAATAGACATTAAAAATAGCTACTACCTACCAAGGTTGCTGGAACAATTGGAGTGCAGAAAAGTGTCTCACATGAGAAGCCAACGAAAAACAAAGGTTGGCGTGATGCTGTCTCTGGTTCTTTTCAAATGAATAAAACACGCTTGCCCCAAACTCATCTCTTGCAATTAAAACGATTCGGTTGTTTTTGCTTTGTTTGTTTTTCCAACCCATCCTAAAACATACAATAGAGGATCCAATTATGTGTGGACCCTCACTTTCTTTTTTTCAGCTCCTTTATGGCTCTCCAGAGCTGCGGTGTCTGTGAGGACTGCCCCATGCCTGCTGTCGCAGGCGCAGCTCACGGAGGTTATGCTTAAGGAGGTCCTCTTTCGAGCCAGATTCCATGAGGTCACGTTAGTCCGATGCTCGACAACACAAAGCTCATTCCTGCGGTTGACGTCTGGTTGCTAAGGAACACAGCCAACAAGGTCAACTCTGCAACACCAGAGGAACCGTGCAGATCCTGGGGGTTGTCTGTCAGTGCTCTCAGGTGACAGCTGAAAGGTTGAAGGTTTGAGTCCATCCTCAGGAGCCCTGGAAGAAAGGCCTGGAAATCTGCTTCCAAGAACTCAAGGAAACCCTTTGAAGCACAGCTCTCCTCTGACACACGTGGCGTTTCTGTGGCTTGGAATCAATCGAATGCAGCTGGGTTTATAACAATGCCGAGTGAAATAAAGCAGAGACTTCCATTCTCTCTGCAAAAAGTCCAGTAGCTTTTCTAGATTTCTTACCTTTCAAGTCATTCAGCATCTTTTAAGCAGAAACCCTATTATTTCTGCCTTCACGGGGAAAATGGGACTTCTGAAGAGGGTAAAGGTTATAGGATGTCACCTCAAGTCCATCAAAGCGAACAATTTAACTTTGCTTTGTTAAAAGGCCATTTGCTATACAGACATAAATCGGGGGAGCAATAAACACCATCTGAAACATTTTGAAGCATCTCAACAAAGTGAACTAGATACATCTAAGGGGTGCATTATATCTTTAAAGTACATAAAGATATTTTAGTAAAGATCTAAAAGAGGTATGGCAGCATAGCATTTCATCAAGTCCGAAGTGATGTACTTACATTTTGCAGTCACTTTGTATCCCCCCAGAGGAGGGGCATGGCCTTCTAATGCATCGAATCCAGCGGAAACTAGGACCATGTCTGGTTCAAACTCTTTGGCCACAGGCTCCACTACCGTCCTGTACAGTAAGAAGGGAACCCGTTACCCATGGGAATGGGGAAGGCTTTTCCAAACTTCTCAGTGTAAGCAACTTGGCACAACCTCAAGAACTTCTCACGAATAAAGAAAAAAGGGAGAGAAAGCAAATTGAATGGATCAAAAGCGTCGCATTTCCCTTATACTAAATCATCGTATATTTAGCATCCAAATTCTGTCTTCTTTCATCCTTTTGCTCTTACTGTTAAAAAAAAAAATGCTTTGCAGGTACATTCTCAAGCCCATCCTGTTACCCACACATCTGTGGTTATTTTATCCCATGCTCTCTCGCTCTCATTTTTTTAAAGACCTGTTTCTTCCAAGGGAGTGACTAATGTTTTACAGAGGAAAGTCAAAGCTTTAGTGAAAACCTGGCTTGCCCCAGTTAGTGAGAACTTGGTATAAATATGAACTATAAATTTCTTTGGGGAAAAAGTTTGCTTTCCCAACTTAAAAAAAAAAAAACATTTTAAAATATTTGTCGTGGTAGGGGGTGAGTCTTGCAAAGGAAAAACACGAAATTCCCTTAATAGAATCCAGACTCTACTGTTCAGTGAGTCCAAGGTCAGGCGCCATAGGATTGTGGCAGCCTCATCCCTTGACAGCGACCCCTGCTGGCCCTGCTCAGACACTTCACCACTTACCTCTCACCTGCACGCGCCTCAGCCCTTTTCTCCTATGCAACTAAGCCATGGTTGAGGCTGCGCTTTACCACGTGGTTGCTATTTTAGATGGAGACTTTAAGAGCACTGTGCCATCATCAAAATTCCATGTTTAAAAGGCTGTTTAACGAAATCAGGAGATCTCACACTAGAGTGAAATTAAAAACTAGTTTGATCTCCCCTAGAAACACTGAAATCGGATGTTACAATCATCCTCTGTTAATATATATTTTACTATGATTTTTCATGGTTAAAGAGATATAAACACATTTACCAGTGGGACATATGTCATATATACATTGACACATTTTCCAACAACATAAACATTATTAATTTACATGCACAGGCTGAGGTAACAGGGTTAAGAAAGTTGTTTTCCTGTCTTTTTGTTGTCATCCTAATATTTGATGTTGACCATGAACATTTGAGGCCCACTTAATGATGTACTTGAAACTTAACTAGATATAAGCAAGATTGTATCAAAGAGTATTTATATTTCCTATTGTCATTAAAAATCAATCATTCAAATGCATAAAAGTGCATGCAAAGGAGTTCCACTGTAGTCCTTCCAATAATTGGAAAGAGAAATCTCTTGAAACAGTCCCATGAGTAAAACTAAAAACTTAATTTTACTGTCTAAAGTGCATATAATCGATTCTCTCTTTTTCTTCTAAGTGAAATAACAATGTGACATATGTTTCTGGAATATAATATATTAAAATAAATTCCCTTAAGCAAGTGTCTCTTTTATCTTGCCTATTTAATTTACTTAATCCCATGAAGACCCTTGAAGAACAAGCATGTACCAAAATGAATAGGTAGACAAGGAAACAAGGTTTCCCATCCTATCAGACCTGTATCACAGCAACCAATTTCCCATCTTCTTTCCCTGTCTGGAAGAGCTCCCCCATCCATTCCTTTTATATGACCTTTCTTGTGTGTTTTTGTAACCTCACAAAATGATTGGATGGGACTATGCAAACAAGGTGCTTGAGGTCCTCCAAGGGGGTTGAATTGCAAGTTAATAAGGCTAACTAAGAAGCCTGATACCTTCTGGGTGTGAAACCATGTGAATAAGGTGTATACAACCTTAATGTGGGGATTGATCAGTTTGCCATCTCACCAAGCTTACAAAGAGCCATCTCAGAGACTGAAAAGGACACAGAGAAGAGACATCAACAGAATAAACCTTGTGGATTCAAGGGCCCTGTGCTAAGACCCTCCCAGACTAAGGAGTTGCAACATTGAACATAGTGCAAGAAGCAGAGGCCAGAGGAGGCCCAGTGGCTTTGCCGACTCAGAATGGTTGCTGAGTGCCTGCTGGGCAGGGCTTACTGAGGGAAGGGGCTGCCCTGCTCTGGCACTTATTTTCAGAGATAAAGATCTTTGCAAGGGCTGCTTGAGCTGAGCAGAGGCCAGTCAGAGGAGTCAAGAATCAAAGGTCAGAGAAGACTCATCTATGGGTAAGGCTAAGAAGAAGTTTTCCTGACAAAAACCCCGTATGTTAAATCAATACATTCTAACTAGTTTCTGCAACAGTGAGCATGAGCAGGAAGTTCTACGTGGCCATTGCAGCAGATTATCAAACACAGCAAGCTGTGCATCCGCAGGGATGGCTGGGTCAGATTTGGTAAGACGTTTCACTTAGGAGATGGCTGATTTCCCCCTGGCTCTGGTCTGTGGATTGTGCCCCACGTTCTCACTTGTGAAGTTCAAGGAGATCCTACGCTTTCACCTCAGTTTTACACTTGTCCAATCTTTACTCCTCCTTCAAGGTACAGCTTGGTTACTATCTCTTCCGTAAAACCGCCTCTCTCTACATGATGCTAAATGCATATTAAGGAGAGGAGACAATTTTAGAATATGAATGCATTCAGAGGGAGAAGCTGAAACAAAAGTGTTTACAGGAAAAATGCCTTGAAAAGCAACTGATGAAAAAAAAAAAAAGAAAGAAAAGAAAAGCAGCGGATGTCTGTTCTCCTGGAGACACTGAGCGAAAAGAGAGTACCACGACTGCAGTTGAGCCCCACTCCGGGAAACCAGGGAGCTCTCCTCCCCATCTTACTTTTCACGGTGCACGCTTTATTCCAAAAGCTCAGTTGAGGCACAGAGAGCTCCTCGGGTCCCTTTCTCCAACGGGGGTGGACTGGCCCTGTCTGGCTGAGGAAACAATTGGGTGAGCGAAAGATAGAACAAACTAACATGTGAGTAAAGAAAGATGAGTGCAAAATCACAGAAAAGAGACCAGAATTTTAAAAGTTTGAATATTCTTAAAGATAGAAGATAGCAATTTATAAAACAAGAAGGTGCAAATATTCAAAAGGATTTTAAAAATAGACCAAAGTGTTTGATGGGCTGTTTTGAAGACCAAGTTGATGATTTCTCTCAGAAAGTAGAACAAAAAACAGACACGGAAAATTGGCAAGAACAGATGAGAAATTTAGAGGATACACTTAGGAAAAGCAACATGTGAGGAAAACTTTAAAGGAATTTCTCTTTTAAAAAATAGAATTCCATATCCATTCCAACTAACAAACAAATGTTAAGAGTAGAAAATTGGAGTTTTAGATATAAGCACCTTTCTGAAACAATATCTATTCTCAATATTTTTGAAGAAAGTTAGTGGATGATATACTTCATTAAAATCAAAGAGTAAACCAAGAAAGATAAAGGCACAAAACATTCTCTAACAAAACAAATTTATTTTTCATCTAATTTTAGAATCAAATAGAAGAAATATTTGTTCTGTAACTAAAATAATTGGCATGGAATACAGTATGCTTTAGTCCACTGCAAATATCTAATATATAACTTATGATAAAAGATAATATAGAATATCTAGCATATCTGAACCATTTGCCAGGGAAATGTATCTCCCTAAACCATGTATTTCAGAAGATGCACCATCTACTGGTTTCTGACTGAAGCAAGTAACACTATATACATAGGTCTTGAGAGAATTTCTAAATAGGAATTTTACAATTGCTCACAGAAGTTCATAATACTCCACCTTGTAAGACTAATGCTACAAAATTTATTTACTAAAAAAATAGTGAGAAAATGGAAAATGTGAAAACCACGGTGCATCAGCAGATCGATCTGTTCCATTAAAGTAGACATGGCTAAACCTGTCTTACTGCTGTTAGGTGCCTTCACGGTCAGTTCCAACTGATAGAGACGCTGGTACAAGAGAAGGAGATACTGCCTGGTCCTGGGCCATCCTCACAAGCATTGTTATCCTTGACCCATTATGACAGCCCTTGGGTATATCTCCTTGATCAGTTTACACAAGGAAAACCCATACAGTTACTAATTTCTTTGAAATGAATAGAAAAATAGATATATACTAGTATATTAGCAGGCCCAGAAATTTATAAATTCAAAATAAACTTAAAAATATATTATACTGGCACAAGTAAGAGTAGTACAGGGAAAGAAATCATAATTAAAGAGAAAGTCAAGAAAACAGTTTATCTTTACAACAAAGACATAATTATGAAAAAAATTAGTGATGATGGAAAGAACTTAGTGATAAAACTGTGATTTCATAAATAAATAAAACATTTAAAACACAAAGTTGAAGATGAAATTTATTTTTCAAATGTCATTAGATAAAAATATGAAATAAATGTGGCGATCTGAAACATGCAATAGTCCTGTATTTAAATAATAAAAATTGCAGAGAGAGCTAAGAAAGAGAGGGAATGATTAAGTAATGAAAGAAGATATGATTTAGGAAAGGAAGAATGACTCAAGTCACAGATGAGGCAAATCCAGCCCACTGCAAAGCATAATGTATAAAACAAATGCACTGTGTTTTAAATTCTGTACCATTGACTTAAACAATGATGCTGTCAATAGAACTATCCGATGCCCCAAGGGCCTGATTTATGATGCACTCCAATAAAATGATAATGGTATCTTTAAAGTGAATTAAGGACATATATAACCCATAGATATATGCATGGGCTTTGAGCTCTCACTTGATCTTAACCCTAATATAAGAACAATTAGTTCTTGTGACATGGTCCTGCTTGGTATTCACCCTCATGAGGAGATCACTGAAAATATGGGTGCTACAGGAAGATGTAGTGAAGAATTCAGATGGTACCTGGGTATTAGAAAAAGAGTGCCCGAGGTCTTAAGGCTTGTTTCAAAACAAGCAGCCAGGACTGAGCTAAATTCTCATGGGAGAAGTACACCAGTCTGCATGATCCAAAGACTGTAAAGAATAAAATCCAAGCCTAGAGCAGGGAAGAGTACCAGAGCCTAAATTCTATACCCAAAATTTGGAGAAAGCTACATATGACAGTGGAAGACA